CTATGGGCCTGCACTGTGGCTGGTGAAGGGGCGTCTCGCAGGGAGGGCTCAGCCTGGAAGCCCCTGGAGGGTCTGAGGTAAAACCCAGGGGGCTTCCTTCCCACAGGTCTCTGAGAAGAAGGAGAAGACAGAGGGGCTTACAATCTCCTTTCCCTTCCCCTCCCCACAACAGACAGACACCCTGTGAGGTCGGTGGGGCTGAGAGAGCTCTTGACAGAAACGGCTCTTTTTCAAGGACAGCTCTTGTCAGAACTTATAGCTTGCCCAAGGTCATCCAGCAGCTGCAAGTGGAGGAGTGGGGAATCAAACCCGGCCCTCCCAGATTAGAGTCCGCGCACTGAACCACGACACCAGACTGGTTCTCTGAGGGGGCTGCCAAGGCTGTAGGGGGGCCGGGCCCTTCACAGCCCCCCACCCCATGATCAGGGGCAGGAAGGGGGGGGCTCTCTCTGGGAGGGATTCAGGATCCAAAGGCCGGGTCTGTCCATTCCCATTGGCCTGCAGCGGAGAACCAATGAGCTGGGGGCCCGAGGCACCCCGCTCTCTGGTTGGCTGGAGGGGTCCGGCCAGGCGGAATAAAAGGCCAGCCCCCGCCCTCCTCACCCGCCATTCCACCCTGAGGAGGGGGGGAAGAAAGAAGCATCCCCTGGCTGGGCTGAGCAGAGGGAGGTGCCAGGCCCCGTTCCCTGAAGCTCACAGAAGAGGCTGGCTGGACAGGGAGGCTGAGGAGAGGAGGAGGTTGGGTTTCTCTCCGGCCCTTGACTACCCGGAAGGAGTCTCAGAGGGGCTCACGGTCTCCTCCCCCTCCCCCTCCCCACCACAGAGAGGCACCCTGGGAGGCATAGGAGGGGCTGAGAGAGCTCCCTCGAGGACTGCTCCCGAGAGAACAGCTCCGGGGGAACTTGTGACTGACCCAAGGCCGTGCCAGCAGCTGCCTGTGGCGGAGGATGAGAGCCCGCGCTCCTCACCAGGAGACCAGACTGTGGAGGGAGGGACCCCCAAGGGAGCCTGTCCAGGAGGCAAGGGGGGTCCCCTGCCAGGGGGTGTCTTCGGAGCCTGGTTCCCAGGGAGTCCGGAGGCCTGAGGAGTCATCCCCCCACCCCACCCCCGCCCCCCGGGGCAGGCTGAAAGA